GGGCCACCCCGCGAAGACAGGCGCGCACTGAAAACCTGAGCACGCACACAAAGTGGACGTCCGAGGGATGGCGAGCGTCTGGGTTGCCCTCCGCGGCCCGGGAGGTCCTGACCGCTTCCCTTGGGGCAGCTTCTCGTCCCAGATGCGTGCTTCGTGGCCTTTGATCCCCGAAGGCGGCCCCTGTACAGGGCCGGCTTCGAGGCACCAAAATGCCGGCAGATGGTCGCGAAGAGGTCCTCGACCTGCAGGCCCGTGCAACCGCTCCTAGAGGCTGAAGAAAAAGAGGGTCCACATTCATTCTGAAGAAAGACCCAGATAGGTACCCGCGGCCTGCGGGCGGCAGCCCCTGACCCAGGCCGAGAGGATCGCTCCAGGCCGCGAACATGTCACGCCGCCGGAACCGTTTGGGGCGCAGCCGCCGGAGGCCACCTCGGAGACGCCAAGCCGATGTTGGCCACCTGGGCGACGAAAAGAGCAGAAGCTGACGCAGCGGCATCAGCACAAACTTCCGGAGACGCCCAGCCGATGTTGGCCACAACGTAAAGAGCAGGAGCAGAAGCAGCGGCATCAGCACAAATTTCCGGGGCTGCGCCCCCCTATCCGCCTCCTCCTCCCCTCCTCCTCCTCCTCCTCCTCCTCCTCCTCCTCCTCCCTCCTCCTCCTCCTCCTCCTCCTCCTCCTCCTCCTCCTCTCCTCCTCCCTCCTCCCCTCCTCCTCCTCCTCCTCCTCCTCCTCCTCCTCCTCCTCCTCCTCCTCCTCCTCCTCCTCCTCCTCCTCCTCCTCCTCTGTCTTGGATCGGCGGTGAGCCCCCCTCCCACCTGCTGCGGGAGGCGCCGCCTCTGGGCCGGGCTGGCCCCGCACCAGCGGGCGGCCCAGCACGCAAAGGGCCGCCCGTCGTCTGCTCTCTGGCGCGCTCACAGGCCGCCCCCGGCAGGCGCCCTCCGCTTGGCATCACTTGGACGTGCGCAGTGTCTCTTACCAGCCTGGAACCTATCCCTATCCCTATGTTGGGCATCGCCTCGTCACGATGGCGATCTTAGGGATTCTCTCAGTTTCTGAGGGTGCATCCCTAAGATTGTCATCGCCTTTTGGCGTGTCAATCTCAGGGATAGGGATAAGTTCGAGGCTGGTTAGTTTCCTCCGCGAGGACCATCGAGGAGCCTCGTGGACCAGCCTGCGCACAGAAGTCCGCGCACGAGGCCGAGCGAGGGTGTGCGCCTTGCCTCCTCGGCGGGGGCCCCTCGCGGAGCACCCCTGGACCCTCGAGAGAAAAACAAATCACGCGCGCCATCGGAGAATGCCCTGAGGGGTACGCCCGAGCCAGGGCAAGGGCACCGCCTGGACGTGTGCCCTCCTTTGTCCTCCGCGAGGACCACCGAGGAGCACCTCCGAGTATCCTTCGAGAACACGGGCGCGAGGAGGAGGAGGAGGAGGAGGAGGAGGAGGAGGAGGAGGAGCAGGAGGAGGAGAAGGAGGAGGAGGAGGAGGAGGAGGAGGAGGAGGCTGAGGAGGAGGAGGAGGAGGAGGAGGAGGAGGAGGAGGAGGAGGCTGGGGGGCGAGGGGCTGGGGTCGGGTCTGGGAGCGAAGGGGCGGAGCCCGCCCTCCCCGCCCGCCCAACCCCTCGTCCCTCCGACCCCCGCTCCTGCCCTCTCTCTCCCCCCCTCCTCCCCCCCCCCCCGGCCTTCCATCATCCTGCCTCCCCCCCCTCCCGCCAGCCGCCGCCCTCGCCTCCTCGCCCTCCCCCTTCTCGCCACCCTCCCGCCCTCCCCCTCGCAGTCTCGCCCTCCCCCGGCTCGCTGAACCCGCCCCGCTCCCTCGCCGTCTCGCCGTTCCTCCCTGCCCTTCTTCGCGGTCCTCGCTGCTCTTTGCGCCGGCCGCGGCAGGGCCACGCCCGCCCCGTGGACGGGTCGGGGTGCCCTGCAGCCGTCGCGGCGCGCTGCGCTCGGCCCCGCGCCGCCCTCTGCAGAGCCGCGCAGGCCTCGTGCCCCTTCCGCCCTACCCCCTCGGGGCTCGTTTCGATGGCCTGGGATCTCGGGTCGGTTCGGTTTCGACGGCCTGCGGTTGCGATGCGATTCGGCTTCGGATTCCGCTCTGGTCTCCGATTCCTCCATGGAGGCCCACTAGCCTGCCGATGTCCGCCGATCTGATGTTTCCCGACTCGGCTGCCGATCTCCGCCGATCCGATTCATTTCGATCGCCGATCCGACTTATCGATTCGATTCTGGGCTCTCCTGCCCCTTCGCAATCCCCCTTTGCTTTCGACACCCCCACCCGGGAATCTCGCAGGGAGCGAGGTTCCAGCCCTGCGGCGCCACCCGAGACAGCCGAAGCTGCCAGGTGGGAGCAAGAACGAGAGGTGGTTACGGTAGAGTCGTGTCGTGTCGATCGGAGGCGACATCGCCAGCGGCGTTCAACATTTAACGCCGCGGGCGACCCAGAATCGTTCGATGTGGTACAATTTGAGAGTTTCGGAAACGGCCGACCGTTCAAGGTTGAACGATCCACGCGGTGTCAGAAACCAACGCCGAAGTGGGCACGACACAGACCTGACGTTGAAAACAGGCAGCCGGTTGCCGCCTTTTTTGTACCCATCGGCTGCCTGATGATTCACCCTCCTCCCTCCCTCCCTCGTTTCCCTCACGCTGTGCCGCGCAAGCCTTCCAAACGCTCCGACATCCACCCCCCCCAACGGTGGCAGGACGTCTTCATGGAGTGCCTGGAGAGCGCTGGGTCCTTCAACTGACGCGTCCGCCGCCGATTGGGTCAGATCGGCCAGTGCGCTCGCTCACCGCCGCCCTCGCTTCCCCCTCGCAGGGGGGAGGTTACGAGTGATGCAGGGCTCATTTCGATTCCTCCGACTCGATTCGATTGGATTCCGATCGATTCTGGTTCCGATTCGATCCGACCTCGGTTTCCCATTCGGATTCTGGTGTCTCGATGGAGGTCTGCCGATTTCCGCCGATTCGAGCTTGAGGCGCCACGATTCAGTTCGATCGCCCTGGGCTAGCATGGGGATGAGGCATGGGATCCGAGCACGGTAGACGACCACCACCAACACTAAGATCAGGAGGACACGTCATTAGTGCGGGCGTGTTGGCGAGGTTTGGCTCTCGTGGGCAACCGCTGTCGCGGCCCCGCCAACGACGACTGGGCCCCTCCCCTCGCGCCTAGAGGCCAGAATGTGGCTCATCGAAACTACGCGCTGGTGGTGCATATATTTTTGACCACGAAGGGCCCGCTTCTCACACACCACCACCCAGACGTGCGTTTTTCATGTTGGGAACTCGCGCTGCGCTCCTGTTCGTCTCCGGGGCGTGGGGGGTCCAAATAGGTTGGTCGTTGTGCGGGGGCTGCTGGGGAGCGCCGAATCCACACGCTGCATCTACTGATGCTATTCCGAGGGGCACGGGCCAGTCCCAGCGCAGTCCCCGAGTGTTCGGATTCCAGCTGCAGCACGCTTGCGCTTCGCTTGGCGCCGGGCTTCTGTACAGCGTCCTCCTCCACCCTCTCCTGCTCTACATCCTCCTTCCCCTCTCCACTCCTCTCCGCTCCTCTCCTCCCCTTTTTCCCTATCCTTCCTTCCCCTCCCCCCGCTTTCTCCTCCTCCTCTCATCCTCCCCCTCGGCTCCCTGATTCCCCCCTCTTCCCCTTCTCATTATCCTGCTCTTCCCACGTATTCTGAAGTGTTTACGCTCGTCACCTCCTTGCCACCTCCTTCTCATCCCCTTTATATCACCCCTCGGCCGCAATGAGTCGGTCGCGGGGGTTGTTCGGTTGACGGCGCTAGGGACGAGCAGGTGTAATAGTGCGTTGAAGATTTGTGCTCGTCTGGCTGGCCAGACTCGGCGCGGTAGTGCCAGGTTCTGAGCGGCCATGGTCTATTGGTGGCTGAACGCCTCCATGTTGGCCAGGGTATCCTGGGCTCGCTGCGATGAATGTTCGCGTGCCTGCTCAGAGTAGCAGCTAGCGCCCCGCCATGGCACCGCGATCCGTGCAGGGAGCCGCGTGCCCCAGAGCCTGCAAGAGAAGGTGGGTGCAGCAAGCGGGCAATTTCTTCGCAGGCGTTCATGCGCCCTCCCCTCTCCCCCCGTTCGTCCCAAACCCCGTCTTTCTCCTCCTCAACGTTCTTTTTCGTGTCCTCTGTTCCCCCTCAGCTTGACGCGCGGCTCACCCTCAGCTCCAAGAGAAAGCGGCGGAGATCAACTGCGAAATTCGCACATCACGTTCATTAGTATAAAAACAGTTGTTGCAGGTCCAGCTGCTGGATATAGTTTTAGAATGTGATTTTTTTCCGAGGCGCTGGTGAATTAGTCTTCGCCGATGGGTGACAATTATCCTGCTTGCACTCCCGAGCCGGATACTGCAAGGGAGATCCTTCTTGGGCGGCAGACAGTTTTTTTCCTCACTACTGCAGTTCGAATTGTTTGTCTGGACATGGCCTGGGGCCTTCCTGGCCTCGGAAATCATGCGCCCATTCAAGATAGTTGATGAAGGTCAGGAATTCTCTTTACAACAGTAACAAGCAAAACAGACACGGAACTGCCTTTGGCGCCTATTGTGTCACAGGAAGCGTTGGGTGTGTTCCGTTGAATCAGTCGTAGTATAATTACCCAGTGTAGTGGAACAACACGTGGATGTCGCAACACAGAGAGAGAGAGAGAGAGAGAGAAAAAAAAAGAAGGCGGATCAGAGACAATTGCAGCAAGAGTACCAGCTCAGGTCTAAGCAGGGCACGCTTCAATTGAGCTTGCGCTGTTCGGTTGACAAGGGGCCAGCCTGGTCAGGAGCGCGTGGACACCAGATCCTGGCAGCAAGATGTCGGTCGGAATCGCAGCCAGACCCACTGCATTGCAGGAGTCGTCGTAGTGCCAGGGTCGCGTTCAAGAAACGCGCGTATTAGACTTTAAACGTCTGTCGGACAGCATGAACTGCGTGGAAACAGCTGGAAGAACATAACGAGAAGATGTGAGCTTTGCCTTGTGAAGGATTCGAAATTTGCCACAACGTCGCAATTTGAGAGTTCAAGAGCAAGGGCATGTTCTACTAGATCATTGCCCTGACTCTGCTAAGCAAGTCGTAACGCAACAACCCAATGCAGTGGAACAGCCCGTGGACGTCGCAACACAGAGAAGGAATAACGATCAGGTCAGGTTACGCTCAATGTTGGTAAGTACGGTGGTCCGCGGATGAGAAGTCCCGAATGGAGAGGGACATGCTCCATGGGTGCATCGTAGGCCCATGAGTGTTCACCCCTGCTCGGGGAACGGAGACGCGAGAGAAGTATGACGGTTATGTTGTTCTTAATTGTCAGTGCGCCCCACAAAGCTGGGGTCATCATGGGCCTTCTCATGGGGGAATGCGTCAGTGGTGTGTCCGTCGTGTCTACCCCCTCTTATGCGGTTTGCTGTGTGTGGGTTTAGTTCCTATGTGCGGGAAGGGAGCATGTGCGGGGTCAATCCTGGTCGGCCCAGGTGCGTTGGGGATCCGCGCGTTCGCAGGGAGGCTGTTGCGGGTGTGGCCGTCCAGGACACGTTCCGTGATGTGGGCGTGCTTGCTTGGCGCACAAAGATTTGTAAGGGGCGTGTTGGTTGCTGGCTCACGCGCAACCTGCGGACGCGCACAGTCTTGGGCCCTCAACGCGGAAGCAGACGTGTGGACTCTTGGACCCAGACAGTGTCCAAAACCAGCCAAATTAATCACTGCACCAGAGAAGCCCCAATGAATGGGTCATGTCAAATATTCGCAGGCAATTCACGCCTGCCCGCCCTGAATGATGCCAGGACTTCTTTCTGTGAGCCATCCGCTCTTTCTTGTTCTCGTTATGTCTCTATCTCTCTCTCTCTCTATATATCCCTCTCTACGCCGTTTCTCTCTCTCTCTCTGTCCCTCTCTGTCTCTCTCTGCTACCAGACTGCTTGCTTTGTCTACCCTCCAAACGCGCTCTGATACCCATTTTCTCATCTCTACTTCTCCGTCGTGGGGCGATCTCGGGGCCTCCCGGGCCGTCTTGACTGCCGTGAGGTCGGAAATGTACGCTTCCTGTCTGGCGTTGATGAGTTCTGCCTCTTGGCGCCCTCTCTGGAGCCTGTTGGGCCTCCCTTTGGCCGTCTTGGGCGGTTTTTCTGTGTCTTTAGGCCACCTTGGGCTTCTTGGACCCTAGGGGGCCTCTAGCGTGTTTAGGCCACCTTGGGCGTCTTTAGGCCATCTTGGCTTCTCTTGGGGGCCTTCTAGGGCCCTCTTGGCTGGTCTTGTAGCCTTTTTGGGCCCGGAAAATTATTGCGACGAAAAGCGGGAAGCCCCTCGAGATTTATAAATTTGGAGTGTGGGCTTAAAGGATCTCCAGGATTGAAGACTAATCTTCAGGGGTTAGGCCAATGACTTGAGGACACACCAGCTCGTGCCTCAGTGGCACGGTGGCGGAAATGCGCATTCCTATATATATATATATATACATACACATGACCCAGTGAATGGGCAGCTGGGTCATCCCCTTCTCGTGGCCACCCCCTATCGTGCCCCCATCGTGGGGTTGTTCACCTGCTTCAGGAGGTGCACCCACTAGACGGGGGTGGGGGGGGGCGGGGAGGTGAGGGTTGGGACATTCGTGGTCCAAGTGCCAAATAAGGGCGCGCCAGCTGTGGAGTTTCGCAGAGATGGGAGGCAATGGGTGAGGGGGGATGCAAATGGGGATCATGTTGCAGTTTGTTGTCGCGACAACTAGAGCCTTTGTTGCGATTTGATGCGTAGGGGCGAAGACGCATGAGCGCCTTGGCCATGTGGCATCGATGATGGGGGGGGTAACGAATCAGGGTTTGCCGCCATGTGCGGGCGCGCTCGCTGGAGCATCAGTCCAGGCTTCTATGGGGGGACCCCGTTCGGGGTGAGCAGCTCCCTGTCGAGGTACAATTCTGCGATCGTGCTCCATGCGGCCTCGGCTGGTGCTCCCGACCGAGGTCGGGACCTGCCTGCGGGGCGGCCCGCCCTCTCGGGCAGTGTCGTGCGACGCCTTGCTGTGCGGCGTCGGCGAGACAGCACGCAGGCGCCAGCGACTGGCGGAAGCTCCCTCGGCACTGCGGCCCCCTCTGCTTGCGCGTGCCGCGCCAGCGCCCTGAGCGGCTTGACGCAGGCGGTGGGCTCGAGGCGCGCCGCCGCCCCCCGCGCCGCCCGCCGGCGGCGCCCGGCCTGCCGCGCACCGGCTCAGCGCCCCGCGCCGCGGCATGCCCGACGGTGCCGCCCCCCTCGCCTACGGGCCCTGGGACGTGAGCCTCTCGCGGCGCAGCGAAGGCCGGCGGCGCGCCCGGCGGGGGGGGGGTTGTGCGAAGAGGCGGGCCTCCTCGGAAGGCTCGGAGGGCCCACGGCCCCTCGAGGAGCGTCCCGAGCCTCGCCCGAGGGCGCCGCAGGCTTCTCTCTCGGGAGGGCCGGGGGCCTGCTGGGGAGCACCACCGCCCTCTGAGAAGGCTTTCTCCTTGCTACTTCCATGGGGAGCAAAACATGGCACAAATATAAAAACTCGAAGGTCCGGGCGGATTTCTCGGATCCGCGCTGGAACCCCCTCCTTGGCGCGCGGAGCACGCCAGGGGCGGCGCCAGAGGCGCCGCCAGGGGGCCCCAGCGCTGATACGAGAAATCTGCGCGGACCTCCGAGTTTTTCTGTTTATGTCATTGCTCGCTCCCCTAACTTGAAGTCGGCCGTGTCCCTCTACAGAAGGAATCTTCAAAACCAATCCCAACATAGCCTGGGGGCGAAGTCTCGACTACTTGTATGGCAATGTTCATGCTTTTTGGGCGCTTCTTCTTTCGCCCGACATTCCCCCTGTAGGAGGGCATGCCCGACCCATAGCCTAGCTTCCCCCCCGGGCATGCCGCCGAGGAGCGCCGCGACCCGCTCACGGGAGGAGGCGAGCTCCGCAGGGCCGAGGGCGCGCCCTGGCGGCGCTCCCCGTGCGCGGCCTGCCGCCCGCCGGCGAGGGCCACCTCCTGGAGTTGGCCACCGACCCGCTGGTGGAGGACTGCCTCCAGGCGGCGGCGAGCGAGGGGGGGGCGCGAGAAGGAGAATCGAGCAGCAGCTCTAGAGTCGGGGTCGGAAAAGAGGGGGGTGATGACTAGGGGTGGGTGGGTACCATGGCGGGGGTCATGACATTTCCCCAGATTTCATGGCGCCTCTTCTTATTTCATTACGTCCCTGGTCTCCCCGCTGGGCCGCGCACATGCCGCGGGTCATGATTTGCACCCCCCCGTCTTGGACACCCCCCTCTTGGCCGCTCCCATTACAGTCGGCCTTGGTCAGCAGGTCGGCCCTGCCAAGTCAAGGGTGCCCTCGTGTCCTGTGCCTCGCGACCCGTGCCTCCTGCATTCCCATGGCGCTGTGGCCCTCGGAAGGGTCTTGTGTCCTGTCGCGTGTCCTGTCCAATCAAGTCCGACTGTAGGCCTCCCAGATGGGGTCGGAGTAGATGGGGTCGGAGGATCGCGCCTCATCGTCGATGCATCGGCGATGCGGCTCGATGTGGAGAGCGATTCTCTCTAAGCTGGAGTCGCCGATGCATCGCCGATGTCGCCGATGCATCGGCGATGCATCGCCGATGCATCGGCGATGCGGCGCGATCCTCCGACCCCACCTACTCGCTGGCGGAGGACTGCCTCCAGTCGGCGGCGAGCGCGGGGGGGGGAAGTGCGAGTAGGAAACGTACAAACCCTGAGGTCCGCGCGGATTTCTCGGATCGGCGCTGGACCCCCCTTGTGGACGCGAGAAGGAGAATCAAGCAGTAGCCCTAGGCATCCTAGATGGGGTCGGAGCAGATGGGATCGGAGTAGATAAAGTCGGAGGGGGGTCCAGCGCGGATCCAAGAAATCCGCGCGGACCTCCGAGTGTGTATGTTTATGTCATTCATCGTTCCCCTGGCGAAGGCGAATCAAGCAGTAGCGAAGCAGCAGCCAGGGCAGATCTGCTGTTCAAGTGTGTGGTTACGCTGCCACCTCCTTGTCCAACGTCAGTTTCCCTAAGCAGCTGCTGCCTCTCTCTGCCTTCTTGCTGTTGGGGCCTCTCCGTCGTCACACGAACGGGTGGGCCTTGCCACTACTTTGCACCGCTCGGAACAGAGGTCCCGACCACCTCCTCTAGGCCTGCTTGGTGGAGTCATCGTCCCATCAGTTGTTGGAAGGCTGGCATTTTTCATCACCAGGGCTTTCTCTGGAATCAAAAGAACGTCTTGTGGTTTGCACGACATGTTCTTCGAACATTTCTCGCTGAGACTGTCTTGTTTTATCACATCGGGTGTTCTACGAACATTGTCTTGTGATTCGAATTTTTGTTGGTTCTACGAACATTCCGTGGTAGGACGATAGGAATGCTGGGACGGCCGGTCCCTGCTCAAGAGAACGCCTTCTCAGAAGGCGGAGGGACTTCTCAGAAGCCTTCGCGCCTTCTGGGAAGTGTCCCGTGTCTCTGGGGAAGGCTCGGAGAACCTGTCAGAGAGCCCGGGGATTGCCGCGCCTTCGGAGCAGGCCCGCTCCTTCTCGGTTCCCCCCCCGCTCGCCGCCGATCCGGATCCTGCGCCGCGCCGCGGTGGAGATCTGCGGCTTGCAGTACGAGGCGGTCAGGGGCAACTCAGGAGGGAAAGAAACACACACAGACACAATGAATCGTCGATTCCCTAGAAAATATAGGAAAATACTGGAAGTGGGGGGGAAGAGAACAACCCAGAAAATATAGGAAAATATGGGAAAATATTGGCAATCCTTTTATTTGTGTGTATTTATATATATATATATGTGTGTGTGTGTGTGTGTGTGTGTGTGTGTGTGTGTGTGTCCCAGGGCCCCTTCAGTTGGCAAGGGGGAAAGGCTCGTGGGGGAAGGCATCGACCCACAATCGCCCATCCATCGCCGGTAGGGGCTTGATAGCCCACCCCACCCAGGATTTGGACGCCCGAGATGGAGAGTGCTGATGCATCGCCGATTCCGGCTCGATGCGTCCCCCGCCTACCCTGAGAGCCGACGTCGCCGAAAGCTGCAATATCGCACCAAACATCAGGACAGGAGCCCTAGACCCGAGTTTTTGCCTTCGGAGAACATATGACTCCAGGATCTCAGGGCGACCAACTCCCCCCTTCAGAGCTCCCCCTCAGGCGAACATCCTGTCTGCGCGGCTGCGCGTGGTGGAGGGGTTCTCCGTGCAGACGCTCGTCCGCGTGAGCGGTTGTCGGGGATGGGCAGAACCCCCCCCTTTAGCAAAACGCGGTTTAGTGAAAATGACCTCGGGCCCAAACCTGGCGGGCGCAGGCCTGGAAAATTACGGCCGCGGCGCCCTCTCGATAACGAAATACGGACAATTCTCTTATCGACGTGTCATGGTGGGGGCTCTGTCCACCCCCGAGGTTGCTCCGGCCACGGGCCCGGCTCCCCCGAGCAGGAGCAGAGGAGTTTGCCGACGCCCGGCCACTGTTACCACACGGCCGAGTTCGCCTTCAAGGCCGCCCCTCGCCGCGGGGAGGCGCCTCCGTGTGTCGTCGTGGTCGTCGTCGTCGTCGCCGTCGTCGGCGCCTCCGTCCTCGTCGCCTTCGTCCTCGTCCTCGTCCTCCGTCGCCGCCGCCGCCGCCGTCGCGGGAAGGCAGCTCCGACGGCCCGGGGCCTGTCCGCGCGCCTGCTGATGCACGTGTCGGGCCGGACGAAGGGGGGGGATTGGGAAAGGGGGGGTTACGAAATTTGCTGCATGCAGCTGGTTTCGGCCCCACCGAGGGGCCCGTTCCTCGAAACATGGCCGCCTCCGGCGCTGGGAGGCGGCCGGAAAATCAGCTACGTGAGCTGATTCTCACCCCCCCCTTTTCAGAGCGTGAATTACCTACCCCGCTTTCGCTTCCAGGCAAAACCAAGTCATACCACGCGCCTCCTCGTCAAGCGGCCTGACCAGTACAGGCCGTAGTTTGGCATCGCTTGGTATCTCTTGGAAGCGAGGGTGGTTAAAAGCGAGGTAGGTTTGTTTGCCCCCTAGCCTTTGCTATCCCCCCCTCTTGCCCGACCCGAGCGTGGACCTGTGCAGCATCGGCGCGAACAGCAGCCTGAGGCTGGACGACCCCGACATCGCGACGGAGTCGCCCCGGGTGGGGCAGCGCCGCAGAGGAGGGGCCTGTTCTCCACCACCGCCACCATAAGTTGGAAGGGGGAAGGAGTAGGAGGAGGAGGAGGAGGGAGAGGAGGAGGAGGAGGAGGAAGAGGAGAAGGAGGCGGAGGAGGAGGAGGAAGAGGAGGAGGAGCAGGAGGAGCAGGAGCAGGAGGGGGAGGAGGAGGAGGAGCAGGAGGAGGAAGAGGCGGCGGAAAACAAGCCCACCAGCAGAGGCCGCGGTGGGCGCCTCCGCGTGCCGGGCGACGTGCAGGAGGGCGGCCGGCTCGAGTCGCCTCGGCTCGCCGCCTCGGCTCGCGGGGCGGTCTCTCGCCCCGGAAGGCTCCCACGAAGCCAGGCCGTTCGGAGAAGGCTGGAAGCTCGGGGTGCACCTCCAGGGGGGTTTATTCAAGGGCGCCCTCGAGGGCGCGAAGTTCTTCGCGCTTCGCGTTTCGGCTCCGAGTCCTTCTCATCCTCCTCTTCTCTCCTGGGGGCGGCGCGAGAGCGCGAAGTTATTCGCGCTTTGCGCTTCGCACGAAGCCTGTCCGTTCGGAAAAGTCGGGGTCCGCAAAGAGGGAGATGACTAGGGGGGGGATATCATGGCGGAGGCCATGATATCTCCCTGGATTTCATTGCGCCTCTTCTTGTTTGATTACGTCCCTGGCCCCCCCGCTGGGCCGCGCACATGCCGCCGGTCATGATGTGCTCCCCCCCTTTTGGACACCCCCTTCTTCGCCGCTCCCGAAAAAGGCTGGAAGCTCGGGGTGCACCTCCAGGGGGGTCTATTCGGACGCAGCCACACCGAGGATGCACGCCCCCCCCCCCTTTGTCGTGCATGCCTGGGTTTGGCCACGCTTTGTGGTCCCGTCGGGGCCCCCACGAAGTCGGGGAGCTGGTTCGCCACAGCCCCGCCCGTCATCGGCCCGCTGGACTCGGCGACTCGCTGCTTCGGCCCCCAGCCGCTTCTGCTGTGACCCTGCCTGGTTCGGCTGCTTTCCGGTTTCTGTTCTGTCCGATTTGCCTTGCAGATCTGCGCTCCATCATCACTGCGGTTTCGGCAGCGCTCGTTTTGCGCCTGGTTGCTTCGGCTCTTCGTTGGCTGGTGCACTCGTTCTGCTGTCGTTGGCCAGCTTCCCATAAGTTACCAGCCCTCGTTTGTGTTGGGCCCTCTTTTTGAGAATCGTAGCTCCGCGCTTCTCCCTCCCCTCCTCCTTTTTCTCCTCCCTCCACTTCCTTATCTCAGGAGGAAAAGAAACACACAGACACAATTAATGGTCGATTTCCCAGAAAATATGGGAAATATTGGAAGTAGGGGGGAAGACACAACCCCAGAAAATATGGGGAAGTATGGGCGATCCTGTTATTTGTGTATATTTATTTGTGTGTCCCAGGGCCCCTTCATTATCATCTGCCTGGTCATTGTCATCACCATGTTGGCAAACCCTCACACACCTCATGGCCCCACAGGGAGCTCCACCGAACTTCCCAGGGGCAGAGATCGTTTGGCGCCTCGGGTCCGCTTCGGCGCACCACTCATACGTTTCATGAGCCCATAGGGAGCTACACCGAAGGCCCCGGTGGCAGGGTTCTCACGGCGCCTCGGATTCATTTCGGCACACCCTTCACGCGCTTTGTGGCTACACTGAGGGTCCCAGCGGCAGGGTTCGCATGGCTTCGCGGATCCATGTTGGCATACACCTCAGACGTTCCGTGGCCTCATAGCGAGCTTGCTCGAAGGCACCAGTGGCAGGCTTCGCATTGCGCCTCGTGTCCCTTTTGGCATTCCCCTCACAGGATTCGTGGCCCCAAAGGGAGCTCCAGTGCGGTCCCCTGTGGCAGAGTTTGCACGGCGCCTCGTGTCCGTTTCGGAAAGAGCAAGGTCTGTGGGTGCTGGGAGAGGGTCGGGGAGGCTCGAACCACCTGGAATTGCAGGGGGGGGGGTCGAATCGAAGGGGGGAGACCCCCCTCCTTTTTCCAGTGGCAATCGACGATGGCGAGCGCCGGCGCCGACGCTGGCGCCGTCGGGCAACGACGACGACGACGATCGAGCCTCAGTGGGATGCTAGTAAGGCAGGATCGAGCCCCAGTGAGATTCTATTAGAGCTGCAACAAGCCCGAGTAGGATTCAATTCCCAGAGCTCGGTCTAGCCATAACAGGAGTCAATTTGAGATCGACCGAGCCTTCGCAGGATTCAATTAGAGTTCGGGCCCAGCTATCGTAGGATTCGATTGGAGTTAAGTCGGTTGGACATATAAAATAATTTTTAAAAATACTATGATGCTAGTAAAGTTAGAGCCGCTGTCGTAAGATGATTATACCAGAGCTTGAGCTTGACTGAGCCCCCGTAGGACTCAAGCAGAGCTGTTTCCAGCTGTCGTAGGATGCTGTTCAAGTTATGCCCAGCTGTAGTAGGATTCCGCTACAGCTTGATCGAGCTCAAATAGGATTATGTCCTTAACGCTTGGCGTATCCCAACCAACCCATTCACAAACCCTGCCCGTGAGAATTGAGTGGGCAAGGGACGGACAGATGCATGTAGTGAAACGAAGCGGGCAACCAGGGTGAACAGAGAGACCGCTGGGAGCAAAGGGGTTGCCTTGGAGTGCCTCCTCGTGCCATCCCTGGGGCCCGCGTGGGGGCGAGGGAAGGAGGTGGAGGAGGAGGAGGAGGAGGAGGACGACGACGACCACAACGACGAGGAAGAGGAGGAGAAGGAACAGCAAGACGATGAGGGCAAGGATGAGGCCGAGGGCGAGAAGGAGGAGGAGGAGGAAGAGGAGCAGGAGAGCAACGAGGACGAGTAGCCCTTTTGGGACTCTTTTGGGAGATCTTGGGGTCTTGGGATTCTTTTGGGGGGTCTTTCGGCCCTCTTGAGGCCTCCTTGGAGCCTTCTTGGGGGACCCTCGGGAGCCCTGGAGGGCCTCTTGGTGTTATCTTGGAGGTCATCGATCAAAAGGGGGGGGTCCCAAATGTGCCCCTTCCCCCCCCCCGGGGGGGCATCACAGTCGCCTCTTCGGGCGCTCTTAGGGCCGTCTGGGGGGCCTGTTGGTCCCCTGTTGAGCCTCTCTTGGGCCATCTGGGCCATCTTGAGAGCTCAAAAGCGCATCGGAAGCGAAAAGGCGATAAGGCAACAATCAGTCAAGTTCTATCGGCTTTTGAAGGTTGTGAGGGGTCCTGATGGGGGCTTCCAGGGAACTCGGAACCGTCTTCTGGCCCTCGTCGTGCCTGTCGGAGGTATATATCTTGGAAGCTGTTTTGAAATATCGCATGCTACGTATTACCCCGCAATTGCGGATAAGAGTGAGGGGGCGGGCGCGGGCGACGCGGGCGTCGTCGAGCCGGCGGACCTCGTGGCCCCCACCTCCCCTGTCGATGGCGCTCTCCTCCTCCTCCTCCTCCTCTTCCTCCTCCTCCTCCTCCTCCTCCTCCTCCTCCTCCTCCTCCTCCTCCTCCTCCTCCTCTCCTCCTCTCTTCCTCTTCCTCGTCCTCGTCCTCGTCGTCATCGTCATCATCACCCTCCTCCTCCAGCTCGTCCTCCTCCTCCTCTTTTTCCTCGTCCTCCCTCTCCCCCCCCCTCGTCCTTCCATCATCGTCCTCCAATTGTCGTCCAGCCCCTCATCGGCCTCCATCATCGTCCTCCCATTGTCGTCCATCATCATCCTCCCCCCCTCCTCCCCCTCCTCCCCCTCCTCGTCCTCCTCCTCCCCCTCCTCCCCCTCCTCCCCTCCTCGTCCTCCTGCTCCTCCTGCTCCCTCCTGCTCCTCCTCCTCCTCCTCCTCCTCCTCCTCCTCCTCCTCCTCCTCCTCCTCCTCCTCCTCCTCCTCCTCCTCCTCCTCTTCCTCTTTCTCCACATTATTCTTACATCCTCTCTTCTTTCAGGTCCTCCTCGTCCCCTGTTTACTCCTCCTGCCTCCCCTTCCTTTCCCAAGATAACGGGAACGCAATCCTTTTTTCCATTTTATGCTTCCCGGCTTCTCTGATCAAGGCAACTCGCCAGGGCAAAGTTGCTGGACGGGCTGGTGTGGATGCGCGGGGCTTGAAGAGGTCGTTGCTGGCTCAGGCGGCATGCAAAAATCCGCCGCTGCGCTTGTGCGGCGTTGGTTTGTTCAGTGAACGTGGTTTGGGTCGCGGGCTCTCCACCTCCACCTGGAAGGAATGCAAAAGCAGCCCGCCGCAGGCGCCGAACAATTGTTTTGTACACTGAACGTGGAATGGGTCGCGGGTGGGCCGCGGGTTTTCCACCGGGAGCGGATGCAAAAGATGCCCGCCGCAGGCGCCGAAAAATGTGGTTTGTACCCTGAACGTGGTCGCGGGTGGGCCGCGGGCTCTCCATGAAACGAATGCAAAAGATGCCCGCCGCAGGCGCCGAAAAATATGTTTTGTACCCTGAACGTTGGTTGGGTCGCGGGTTGGTCGCGAGTTGGTCGCGGGGGGTGGGTCGCGGGCTCTCCACCTGGAAACGATGCAAAAAAAGCCCGCCGCAGGCGCCGAAAATGGTGGTTTGTATTTTGAACGTGGTTTGAATCGAAGGTGGGTCGCGGGTGGGTCCCAGGGTGGGTCGCGGGTGGGTCGCGGGTGGGTCGTGGGTGGGTCGCGGGTGGGTCGCGAGTGGGTCGCGGGGTGGGCCTCGGGCGGGTCGCGGGGTGGGTCGCGAGACGGTCGCGGGTGGGTCGCGGGTGGGTCGCGGGTTGGGTCGTGGGGTGGGTCGCGGGGTGGGTCGCGGGTGGGTCGCGGGTGGGTCGCGGGTGGGTCGCGGGGTGGGTCGCAGGGTGGGTCGCGGGGTGGGTCGGGGGTGGGTCGCGGGTGGGTCGCGGGTGGGTCGCGGGGTGGGTCGCAGGGTGGGTCGCGGGTGGGTCGCGGGGCGGTTGGCGGGTGGGACGACGACGACAAACAACAACAAACAACAACAAACAACAACAAACAACAGCAAACAACAACAACAACGAGAACCCGCACCGCGGATTCCCATTTCAGCCACGCACCCATGGACAGTGAATGACCGTTCGGCCCCCTCACTCTGACATAGCATTTCGCAGTTGCGGATAAGAAGGGGGGCGGCGGGAACGGCGGCAGTCTGCGATGCTCTGGAGAATTCCGCCGCAGGCGCCTAATTGTCAGAAGCTATACAACGGGCTCGCCGCAGACGCCGTTTTTTTGTTAAATCAATTTGGGTGGGTCGCGGGGTCGGTCGCGGGTGCGTCGCGGGTGGGTCGCGCTTGGGTCATTGGTGTGTCGCGGGCCGGGTCGTGTGT